TGCAACAATAAAAAATTCGCTAGCTAGTGCTGTGCGTCTTGGTCGTCTTGGTTCTTTGTTGGTCTATACCAAAATGTAATCGACAAAAAAAGCTGCTTGAAGCTCTGTACTTTTTTCACCTATTACGTCCAAGCTGCTTACATTTTTTGTGATTATATTTCTATTACGTTACTAGAGCCTCGCACACTAACTCCCGAGTGTGCGATGCAAAATTAAAATGAGATACCCAGAAACCCGTTGCAGGTGCCCTGAAGTCGCTGATGCAAATTTTGAGGAATGTATTTGGAAAAGTATTTGGAGGAGAACAAATACGTTTGGTTGTATTTGTATCTTGTACTTAAATGCTTGTTTGGAAATGTAATTAGATTTGTAATTAAATACATTTTTGACGGAGTATTTTGTATTTGTATTTCAATACATATTTGCATGCATTTTGCCCATCCCTGCTTACTACATTCTACACGCAGGACATGAGGTAAAAGTAGGCGCTGCAATTAGGTACAATAGATACAGGAAAAACATTGTCTGGTCCCTGCTGTGAAGTAAGCTCGCTTTACGGTATTCACAGCTTTCTTCGAGCTGAAAATTACTAAATACAAAAACGGACATGACTCTTTCAGTATATTTCAGCGAGTTAAAGTTAATTATATGCCACCGACTTTAATTTAATAAAAAACAATAATACGACATTTTTTACTGTTTCTTGTTGGGGCAACATTTTTTTTCGAGATATGTAGAATTTCCAGGCTATGTTTCGTTGAAGTTATACCAAAAATAAAAATAACTCTTCATAACTGTTTTGTTGTGCTTTGTCCGAGTAGACAGTTAAAGTTGCCGCGGAATCGACGTGCCATCACCTCGGCTTCAGCTGGTTTCCAAAATATACGCCAATAGTAAATGCACGGAGTAACGGCAAGGACCCTTAATGACTACGGGTCTTAACCCCCGGTGTAATTTGTTGGATACCATTGCATGCGCGGACTTCATTTTATTTGTTAGAATACCTGCACGGCCTGAAGAGGCATGCATGGCAGAAACGCACTTACATACAAAATAATCAATGCAAATTACAAAAAAAAAGACCTTTTAGAGAAAACACAACGATTCAAAACTGAAAACACCACAGTCACACAGTACGGTCTATTAAAATACTCTTGCACCTGGTAAAATAAGCCACTCTGGGTTGTGTCGCGTTACTGAGATTTGTTACCCCCTCGTTTCGATGGGTTGCCACATCCTCCCATTCGTCCATCCACACTCTAAAAAAAAGTATGTGCGTCTACTTTCACGCACAACACTTGGAGAACCTATCAGAGCAACTTGCGGAGGCAGCTCGGCGAATGACCATGCCGAAACATCTGTTTATACCAAAAAAAAAAAAAAAAAAAAAAACACAAAAAACCCGCATCTCCACGTGGTGAATGATGTTGATTGGGGCGAAGCTCTGGTGGTGCTTGTCTACTTAGATGGTGAGCCACAGCATGCCGAGCCTTTCGTTCGTTTTCATCCATGTCACGCTGCGGTCAAATGCTCAAATGCGTATATAACCACGTTCCATACCACACATTCTCTTTCTGACATGGATGAAAACGAACGAAAGGCTCTGCATGCTGCGGCTCATTGCTACGCAGACAAGCACCACCAGAGCTTCGCCCCTATCAACATTATTCACCACGTGGAGATGCGGTTTTTTTTTTGCCCTACACGACCACGGGAGCACGTGCTCACGTGCTCGTGAGCACGTGAGCGCGTGAGTTTACGAGCAGGAGTACGTGCACCCGACGGCGGACGGGCATACGGACATGGCTAGCCCCTAAGGAGCTTCGCCTCTAAAAACGCAGACTGAGTTGCGACATTAAGCAATGCAAGCGTGACGTTTTGGATTTCTTAATGTCACAACTCAAACTGCGTTTTTTGGTCTAAACAGATGTTTCGGCATTATCATTCGCTGAGCTGCCTCCGTAATTTGCCCTGATTGGTTCTCCGAGTGCTGTGCGTGAAAGTAGACTCACAGATGTTTTTAGAGTGCATCCGGTATATTGATACACGCTTTTTGTTTTTCAGACAGATGTGGTTTTTCGAGCGCAAATTCACTCTTGCGTACGGTAACTCTCGTCGTTCGAGCTTTTCGCAATATATAATATAATTTTGTTTATTTAAAAGACATTGCAGTCCCCATATGTGGTTACATAGAACCTTGAGTTGTGATTTAGCATTCTTCACGATACTCACAAACTACCGAGTCCGTTGGAGGAATAGTGCGCGCCCCCTGATCATGGCGATGAACCGGCGTCCTACATGGAAGGTTCTCCTGTGTGCAGTCGACCTTGCAGCAATATCAAACAAACGCGGTTAAAAAAAAAAAACGCCTTTTTTATGCATTTCTGTTGGGAACGTGAGCAACCAAAAGCGTCGCCGTGGTCGGTTTTCTACTTGCATTCCCTGACTAGTCAAACGCAAACTACGCCTTTAGAGGGACCAATAGACCGAACTCACCAGCCAGTTTCACTACGCCACCGCTGCCGCCATGCATCGTGGGAGCTGTAGTTTTTCTGCACGCGCGACAACCCCGCTGGATCTCTGCGCGAGCAGAGCACGAGGCGACATGAGCTGTCTCGTGAACTGGCATCTGCATCCTATAGACGCTTTCAGCGCGCGCCAGATTGAGCCGCCATAGCCGACCTTCTCTCGTCTTACCGAGCGGCCAAGCCACTGAAGCGGGTGTTGACGGGTCTCCAGAAGGACCTATGCTGGGGAGAAGGACACAGTAACACCTAAAGTGGCAATAACCTGTCCTGCTGTGGTAATGATGAAGTGGAGCGAACGGAATGAGAAGGAACAACAACTGAAGGTCGGTTATGGCGGCGCCCATGCACAGCTGCCTGAAAGCGTCTATGAACTACAGTTATGGCGGCGTCACGCATGCGTGCAACGCTTGGTGAGATCGGTCTGTTCTGCTTTCATCGACTGAAATATGAGTCACATATACCAAACTCAAGAGTGACTGTGTTGTTTTAAGAACATTATGGCCTCAAACTTTCATCGTGTTTCTTGCACACACCTCTGAACTCGTTGTTCGCAACTCCTGGTCGCGAAGCCAAGATAGGAACCAGAATAGGGCGCCATGAAAATACCTCGTCGCCGATAATTCGTATCCGCCACATCGTCGGTCCGAGGAACTCTTGTTCTATGTGAACAGTTCTTAAAGGGATTGTCCGGTGAAATCTGGAAGTTACTAAGTTTTCGCGCTGGTGACGTAGGGTGGGCTGACATATAGCTAGATGTGATATTTATTTAACTAAAAGGCGCCTCAATATTTGTTAAATCAATACCGAATACCAATACGCAACCCAACGCCAAGTTTCACGAGTATGCATGGCTGGTCGTGTTGTGATGTCCCACCAGGCATGATAACGTCAAAGTCGGGGGCGTTGACTTATCCCCGGTTTCGATCAACATGGTTGATGCTGCGGACAAAGTTCATCGTCAAAAAACTGGGCTTTCCTCAATAACTTAAATTGTCTTTCTCAGAACGAGGTTGCTTTACCGAGACAGCAGTGAAGAACTGTCGTGGCTTTTTTTTTCATGGTGTTAGGTCAGAGCTTCCGCTGTGGCGAACGAAAACTCCGTGTGTTTTGCGGGTGCAATTTAAGCAGGTGGGCACAGTTTAAAATTTAATTACTTGCGCGGAGGATGATTAAAAGTTCGAATATAGTGCGGAAGATACTTCTAAAAGCAATGGCAATATAACTTAGTTGTTTTCTGAAACACAACAATTTACTGCACCATCTCTTTAAACCATTTCCTACTAAGGCACCCTGATATTGTCCCACGGAAGCTAACCTGATAGAATTATCAGTATGGTACCGCAGAACACTTGTGCCTTGAGCGCTGCGAATGGAAGTCACTCGATCAGGTTAGTTGACCAGGCGGCGAGTACGTCACTAGAATTCGTGACTACCACACGGTGTGCACTGGGTGCGCACCCATGCAGGAGCCTGCATCCTCTCGGGTTTGTGTGAGGTGCAAATCGGTGGAGCAAACAAACAAATAAAAAGACGTACAAATTTTTTTAAAAATTTAAGAATTTCAAACGTTTGGAGGTAGGAAGAACACCTGGGCTTTATGTGTTGATGTCAAAATTTAATTGTGCAAAATGTAATCACACCGACTTTCAGGAAAACACTTTTGAACGTTTTTGCAACTAAAATATATGCAGGCTTCTTGAACAGCCTAATCTTGGTACGATTAACTCCTTAATCTATTACTGTATTACTCTATGTCTGAATCTCGCAAATCTGTCATCGTCCAGGCGTGAGACTATTCGAAACTTCCATGTTTTTGTCGTAAAATGTTTGGACATCTCCGAACATTTGAGTTATGTTTGTAAGCTTGGTTAATTCGTTCAAAGTTAAGGCGACAGAATACCAGTACTGTTTGCATTCTTGGACTTCTGGTCTCAACATGGTAAAACCCGTAGCTGGAAACCAATATTACGTCACAAGACTGTACTAGCGCATCTAACTAAGGTTGAACTGGCCCGTTTTTGCATCTTCACCTTGCTTCCAATATTTCTGGAATGAAAGCCTCCGATACTTGCTATTGGTGATACAGTGTTCCGGCATAGGACACCGGCAAAGACGAGGACACTCGGGGGCGTCCATCAGGCAAATGATGCTCATTCAGTAGGCGCAAGGTCCCGTCTCGAGGGTGGCTTGACAATGAAGAAGACGAAGTAGCAGCTAGTGACAGATATAATAATAATTTGGAAATTAGAAGATGACTAAAGAAGAATAAGTAGAACACTGCAGGTACCTCGTCAGAAGATACTTTAGCCTTTGGTCCCAATGTACCATGTTTGGAGAGTGCTCTCGCCGTGAAGACAAAGCAATTGATTGATTGATTGACAGCTTCTCTCGGGGGATTGAAAGAAGCATGGACTCGTTCCTATGTGGAGCGTGCCTACGTGTCAGTTGAGGTGTCCTATGTCTTGCAGGTGTTCTTTCACGGCGACATGAGCGACGTCGTGCAGAAGAAGGAGCGAGCCTTCTACGTGGTGAACCACCAGTCCACATGTGAGCACTTATTTGTGAACCGTGTACAGAGTTTTAACTGCCCCCTCAAGGAAATCCACGAAGGTTCATTACTCGTTCACTTTTGAAACGAGTTCTCCTTACAGGTTGCGTCGATTCAGACGTAAGGTAGCACTAAGCTGGGTGGCGAACGAAACCCGAACCGAAAACCGGAGCAAAACCATTATTTTTGAAAGAACAGGGACATTTGATGATATGAACTTTTAACAAACCGTTACCGCGTTTCGCGTACCGCACTACTGGAGTCTTTGAAGCATACTTCTAAGCGCGCACCCCGCAGTCAAGGAATCACCAGGGCATGTGCTTAAAAGCACGCGCAATGGCTTCGGTAGTACGGTACCTGGAACAGGGTAACGATTTGCTAAAAGTCCCTAATAAAACTGAACCAGAACGAAACCATAATTTCTTGTGGCGGTTACTGGTTCATTGAAGAACGGTTCGGCGTAATAAAATGTGAGTCGTGTCGATCGACGCTACAGCGCATTTGAAAAACTGTCGCGCAAACTTCCAATACACACAAGAAATACTCGCAGGGCGCTCACTAACAACACTCTAAAAGTCTAAAAAAAGCCCGTGAGTCTGCCTTCCCGCACAACACTCGGAGAGCCAATCAGCGCAACTTATGGAGGCAGCTCAGCAAATGACGATGCCGAAACATCTGTTTAGACCAAAAAACGCAGACTGAGTTGTGACATTAAGCAATGCAAGCGTGACGTTTTGCATTGCTTAATGTCACAACTCAGACTGCGTTTTTTGGTCTAGACATATGCTTCGGCATCGTCATTCGCTGAGCTGCCTTCGTAAGTTGCGCTGATTGGCTCTTCGAGTGTTGTGCGGGAAAGCAGACTCACGGGCTTTTTTTAGAGTGAACCCTGTATTGCGTGATAAACTTCTGTTTTTACTTTTACTTCAATTTAAGACAATTTTTAATTAGAAAAAACAAAAGAAAGGAAAAACGAAAAAGGAAAACTTCATTTCTAGCCCCTAGAAAACTTGCGGCTAGATTTTTTGTGACACTATTATAAACGGCGCGCTAACAGGTTTGTCCTCCAATTGTATAATGTTCTCGGCTTTGATAGTTTCCCTGCTTGGTTGGGTGACACTTGTGCCTAACACGGTGCGGTGAGGTAGTTGAAATGCGCCGAACACCCACAATCTCGAGAGTGAATTCCAGAGTTGGCTTTGAGGAGGATGTTGTTTTGTTCACGAAGGCGGTCATTGAGACACCGCCCAGCTGGTTCTACTCATTATCTTTCACAGGAAAAAGGGGATGAATAGGCAAACCCCGCAACGTTGACTTAAAACGAAAGAAACACAAAAGAGGACGAAACAGACGACAGAGACGACACCGAAAGCTGTGTCGTCTGTTTTGTTTTCTTGTGTGTTTCTTTCGTTTTAAGTCAATGTAGATCACCAATACTCTGAAGCCTTTGATTACCCTCAACGCAAAACACAAAGTTTGTTCTATGAGTCTTGGAGCAGCAGGATATGCTCGATTTGAGGATGGGGTCGCGTTTTTGCAGAGGCTCGAAAGTTTTTTCGGAATTGAAAACACTAAATCAAGGTTCAGTATGTTCGCTGTTTTCTTGAGGCTGTGACAACAATTATAGATGTACGAGACGAGGATTGGTTTTTACCTGTCGCTGTGTTTTCGCTTGACACCGCATCCTTGCTTTATTTCTTTGAAATTTTCAGCCACTGACACCGATCCCAAAGAAAGTTGATCCCGAGAGTAAAACTTTCGTCGATAATCTCCAACCTCATACAACGCGGTCGTGTACTCCCTCGGAAGGAACCACTCAACACGCGAAGCCATTTTGTCGTTTGCTAGCAAGGCGAAACCGACTGGGAAGCTTTATACGGGTTTTCGTTATCGCTTTATGGTACTGAGACGATAGAAAAACTTTTCGTGATTAGATATTGAGACGACCCAATGCTTACAAAAATATTCACTTTTTTATCCGACAATTCTTAACCTCACATCGTGTTTACGCGTTGGTTCGATAGAGGCGTTTTTTGATTCTTCTGTAAAGGCATGGGCTTTATTATTGGTACCCCGTGTAAGTAAGGGCACAAGAAAAAGAAGCTTGAGAATTTTTAAATTTACATGAGCAAAAGATGAGAAACTTCGTGAAACTTCGAGAAGTCCTTCCTGTGTCCTTTATTTTTGACAAAGTTTCCCATCTTTTACCACAGTCTCGGGTTATTTTCATCATGATCAACATTTACCAGCTTGCCTGCGCACTCGCTGTTTTTTGTAGAGCTTGAGAAGTTGTTTTTGCATGATAGCTGAGAACAATTGGGAATATCTTCAAATGTGCGTCCACCGCGAAATCGTAGAGCATCGAATGTTTAGCACACATAATATAAATGAAATATAAATCGAGACATAAAACTCATTGTTAGCCTTTGTTACTAAGCATGGTTTTAACAGTCTCTGAATATAAGCTGTTTAAAGAATTAAAAAAATTAACTATGTAAAAAAAAGAAAAAAAAAAAAAAAAAGAAACTGTCCTCCGGGCAGTTTAGGCCACATCTCTTACCTGTTCTGAATGCCGCTCAGAAGTGCATTCAGTAGCGGCACATAAAGCTGCAGGCCCTCGATATGAAACTGTTCGATGCGAAGCTGCAGCATAGATATTTTGGGCAGAAGATTGTAGATAGGCGTTTGGAAACTCACAGGGAAAAACGACCACAACTGATGGCTCAGTTGCACAGACAATAGAAAGAGAAACAGCCGTGCTTACAAACTAAGGCATTGACATCAAGGGAGTTGCAAGCGGCGGAGCTGCTGACAACCCCACCCCATCTTCAAAATGACAACTGTGTTCTTTTTTTGGCCGGCGTGGTTGTTCCAAACCCCGAACCGCTTTGTTTCGAGGGCATTAGGAAGCCCTTCAATCATAACAATAATTTTAGCGTCCTTTGCAAACTCGCGAAAAAAAACCTCTTGCCCTCATCATGCACGCTGCCGTTGGAATGGTCGTTTCCAGTCCGCAAAGCACAGAAAACGAGCTATTCGACCACCACGAGAGGTGAATCGTCCGCTGTCCGCATAGATAGGAATGGGCAGGCTCAACCGGCCTAAGAACCGCAAACGAAACGACAAAACATTCAAGAGCCGCCTGGAAGAGGAAAGTCAGTTAAAGGGGGGTCCAAACTTTTTTTAGAGCAATAAATGAAACCTGACCGACTTTAGATCCACTAGTGAGAACCAGAGGGATGAAAAGACCTTGCCTTCTAGGTGAAATGGTGCCTGGAGCGCGTCTCCGACTGGTGTGCTTAGCGTCCCATTCCGCCCATAGGCATCCTGCGTTACCCAGGGGACGCTGTAAAAAGGGCCCGCTGGGACTTGTTTTGGGTAGTACAAACTTGAGCGTCTCGAACTTCCACACATGCAGAAGCTTGTCTGCCCCGGTGTGGAACGCGAGATAATGAACAATATACAAAGAAACAAGAAAACTTCCAACACCGTCGAACACGCTCAAAGCGTGAGCCAAAATACAGCATTTTACGCGTTCCAAAGTAAAAAAAAAAAAAAAAAAAAAAAAGCGCATTGGGACATTAGATGTTTTTACGTCACCACGCAGAGATAAAAAACGCGCGCCCTGGCCGTGGGGGTGGGGGGGGGGGGGAGGGGGAGGGGGAGGGAGAGGGAGGAGGGGGGGGGGCGTGAACCTGGCACTTTCAATTGTCTTGCGGCGTTGAATCTAACCGAATTCGGACGTCGAAAGAAGTTTTCCTGTTCTTCAGCAATGCACAAAAAGATAAAAACTCAGCGAAGGTGCCATAAGTAGTACGAAGTCCATTCCGGAGAGCTTGTACTACTCAGAATGAGGGCGCCGCGATTTGTTCAGAGGTTCGGCGCAGTAGGCATATACCAGGGATGGCCAGGCTGACCCGACCTAAGAGCCGCAAATAAGAGCACGAAACTTTCGAGAGCCGGGGGGGGGGGGGGGGGGGGGGGGGGAGGGTGCAAACTTTTGTCTAGAGCAATAGACGAAACTCGAACTACTTTTATTCCATCCAAGTCAAAAGCAATCCAACTGCGCGTAAGGTAGCAGAGCACAAGACCAAACCGCAACCTGTCTTTCGATTTAAAACGCGTTCCATCTCTTTTTTTGGGTGGGGGGAAGTGAGTGCTCGTGTGACCGGAAGGGAGGCGGGGGAGGGGGGGGGGGAGGGTAGGGAGCCGCGAGCCGCACTTCAACACGCGAAGAGCCGCATGCGGCTCGCGAGCCGCAGCTTGGCCACCCCTGGCATATACAATGCATCAAAACAGGTCTCGAAGTCGCAACAATGACATCACAAAAGCCGGACGGTCGTGCCGCTGGATGTCGCTATCGTCGTGGTTAGGCGTACAAATGCTGGCGAAATGCACGAGTAAACGCATGTGTCGCGGGCATCACAGGGTCCCAACCGTAGAGTTATTAATAATAAATGCTAGAGGTTCAGCTGGTGCTACAGAGCCGTATATACAGGCAGTATGCCATCCATTGGGAAGTATAAAACGACAACGAGGAGACGCCATTGGCCGAAAGTGGGCTGAGCGTGTTCCAGGGCGTCTTCGCAGATTCGAATGTGGCCAACCAGAAGCCGGAAATAATACCCTGGTGGTGGTGGCCAGAAACAAACTTAATAAGTGCGTCGGAGTAATTCTCGGTGATTGTAAATATCGTGCACATGATGTTTCAATCAAGGTCATCCAAATCATAATTGAAGAGTGCGACTAGCGAGACGATCGACATAATCCGTACGCCAGGCACCGAGGGCCGGGAGTCTGTCGTCCGAGCGGTCGCACTCTGAAAGTTCGAGCGGCACATTCGTTTCTTAGATGTCTACGTGATCATGATCAAAACATCATGTGCTCCCTGTTTTAAACCATGAGGGGTTACCACATTCAGCCCTTACGCTCTTATTAAAACCATATGCCTATGATTAAAACTGTCTTCGCTACCCCAGCTAGGGGATTATTTTCAGCTTCTGGTTGGCCAAGAGAACATGGCAAGCCATCTTTCTGCGTCTGGTGCACGCCCTGGCTCTGCCCGCGCGTCCCATTGACCACACTCTCTCTATGCACGGCTCTGGTGCTGGCGTGCTGCCGCATTTTGAGGCAGACAGTGACCAGTCTAAATTTGACATCCGGTAATGCATTCCTATGGGAAAACGCAAATGTGTTCTCTCGTCGTGCTCTATTGTAAGAGCAGATATTGCTTAGTGTCGTGGCAGAGTAAAATGTTTGGAACGTTTTGTAATCGGATGTACAAAAATATGAGTCCGTTAGAGAGTTTTTCTTTTTAATTCATAACGTCGGACAATGCGCTGCAATAGCCCAATACACATGTATAATACGTGTTGACTTTGGAGGCTACTATTATAGGGCTCGTACTTAAGGATATAGTAAATGCTATGAAAGACACCGCGTGAATCAGCTTGACAAAATATCACAAGGATGATAATACACGCGACATCAATCAAAGCAGACGACAAGAAAAAAAAAATGCGGTTATGGAACGCACGTTCTGGATTAGTAACAAACTGTGCATGAATAATCAAAATAAAGCAGTAACCGAGTGTTGGTGTTAACCTTACTCACAAAAAAGCATTAACTAAATAAATTACACTTTTATAATGTGAATAAAGCTACATAGTACCCGTTACGAGTAAAGAAACTACGCTGATTTCTGTTTTTTGCTGGCGAAGAGAAAAATATCACGTTCGTTTTCCCATAGGAATACACAGGAAGACTGGAAAAGTAGACTGGTTGCTGTTTGCTTCAATTTGCAACCGGAAGTCCCGTAGATACTGACACCAGCTGAGCCTCTAGCGTTTATTGTAATAACTTTATGGTCTCAACTTCTGGTAGCCGAACCTTCCGTGGACAGTCACACTAAAAATCGACCTGCAGCAGAACAAGCGTCTGCCACATTCAACATCGCTGCTGAGACACCGCCAGGGTCGCGACCGGCGACAGCATGACACTTGCATGACGTCATGAGGCGGAACTCGAGGAACCACTTCTTTGGACGCGGTAAATATACCTGTCAGAGACTCGTTCTAGGCACCATAGCGTGAGCCTCCACGTAATCCTCGCCGAACTAGCCCAACTGCGAGCGGGCTCACAGTGAACTAGAGGAGGGGTATGTGGTGTTACCAGCAGATGCGACCGGCTCGAGTTACCGAGCGGGCGCGGCCGTTTCGAGACCTCACGTGGTTTCGTGTTAGCCGGCGGCCGGAGGATGCCGCTGAGTCGGAGTCCAAGGCCACGGCCAAGGCTACGCCGGGTCGACTAAAGATGCCAGGCTCCCGGCTGTATATATATCATATGTAAGGAAGACGAATAAAAAGGGGGGTTTTTCTGGTTTGGACTTGGGAGCGGGACTCTGTCTTTCTTTGGCGTCGGAGGCCCGAGCAGCGGCCTAACGCTACAGGGTAGTAAGATCAGACAACGACGTGCGCCATGAATTGCTGTGAAGCGGCGATTGTGAAAAGGTCCCGGATGTACGCAGCAGCGCTGCGGGAGCCTGGACTGCAGGATCCGAGCGTTCCGAGCGCTTTCGACGAGCAGGTTTGGCTTGGCGGTTTAATGTGTTTTCTGACGCTTATGTCGATTGAAGTGCAATGCCGAATCGTCTACGACGACAACGACAATGTCGTCGTTGTCGTTGCGTCAAGGGCGCGTCGTTGCGCCGTTGTCAAAAAGCGTCGAGGGCGCTGAATTTTCGCCTGCCACCTGATGAGAGTTTGCTTGTTGCGCAGTAAGAGCGCATGCAGACCCGAGAAGTATCAGGGGAAGCCGTTCAATGTAAATATTTTGAGATTCTAGTTGATCAAGTGTGCATATTCCCAAAGTTCAAATGCCTCATTTTTGAAATTTAATTCGGAGCAAGATTATTAAAGCCCACTCAAAGACACCGGAACGATCAGATCAAAACATCGACCGAATGCACTAGGAAGCCCAGCAGACGCCCGACTTCCGGGACAACCATCAAACTTCCGGTGGCTTCACTTCCGCCCTGCTCGGCGAGTGGCTGGCTATGCGCTATCCAGCCTCCTATAATAGAGATCAGTGGTTCGCTGAGCTAACTACCTATATTCTACACTTGGTTTTAGCTTAGGTCCGGGCGTGGCCGTGGTTATGAGCTGAAGGTCCAATCAGACAGAGCAGAAAGCGCAACGTCATGGCGTTTTTCGCTCTTGATGGAACGAGCCGGCGGAGGAGCCCGCAGAGAAAGATGGCGAGCACCGCTGGTCCTATCAACAGCGGAGAGCGCGCCATGACGGTGTGCTTTTCTCAACGTTAGATTGACCCTTCGGGTCATAGCGTCGGCCGCGCTCGGACACAAGGTGAAACAAAGTATAGTTCACTGTAGCAGTGGCCCTGGAATGATTGGCTCGCTTTGCACACGCAGTCGACTGGGTGGCGGTGAACATCTTCGCCGAGAGGACGGGCTCCCCGGGCCAGCTGCGCTACATCATCAAGCAGAGCCTGCAGTCGGTGCCCCTGTACGGCTTCTACTTCCACCAGGTGGACGCCCGAGTCTCCCCGCTCTAAGCGGCGTTTCTTGCGTCAGCATCGCCGCCAGCGCCTCTTGCAGAGTCTCGCAACGAGCGTAAAGGCTCTGTTGTACTCAGACGTTGAGCGCGCGGTGAACGCAGTGTAGCCCAGAACGTGGGCCTTTGATTGGCCGGCGAGCAGGAACTCGGCCTGAGCGACCAATCAGTTTCTACGTGTTCTGCGCTACGCCGCGTTTGCTACTCTCAACGACGGAGCATACGCTAGCAGGCGGCAATGCCAAGACGGACTCGCGTGCGGCTTGGCGGCGTCTCTCGTCAAGCGTTCAGCGTGCTTGCCACTTGTCGGGGATTCACGAGTAACAAAGTCATGCGCAGGTCTCGTGTTCTGGGTGGTATCGCGTTGGCCGAGCCCCACTAGAGCGACAAACGAAAAAAAAAAAAAAATTGGACACCGGCAAGTCTTGATCAAGTGCAAAATGAGGGTACCCCCTGCTGTCATTCTTGTTTGCGGCACGAACACAGGTAGACTGCAAGCTCACTAAAGGTACCATCGCCCGCTTGCCTTTTTGGTTGTTTCTGTTTGTCGCTCTAGTGCAGGGGTCTCCAAACCCCGGCCCGCGGGCCAAATCCGGCCCGCGGAGGTCTTCAGACCGGCCCGTGGCTGGCTGCAGTCCTCCCAATGGAGCCCGGCCCACGGCCCACCTCCAGCACGCCCGCTACTGGCGAAAAAATAAGCGCGTGTAAAACGGCGCCGCGGCGCGCACCAACCGTGTAAATGAAGTTACCAGAAAAAAACGAGAGAACACTGCCTTCCGTAAGGCGTGTCCTCTGGTCATATTAGTAATTGGGCATTTTGTCATTAGCAGAATCCACACTCCTAATCCCCTGCTCCATATCTGGGTAACTAAGTTAAAATTAATTTACGTCCCTATGTATATAGTGCTTGGTGTACTGTGTAGTAACTATTAAATATTGTCAGCATAACTTCTATCGTTCTCACTAGTCTTCTGCCCCGTGTGAACGTGCCAAAGTTCCTATGCACTCTGGTTTATGCTGGTATGTTTTCTGGGCTCCAATTATTGCGTGATGTCATAAGCAGCTAAATGATTAAATTTGATAACAAAGTGAATGCATTCATCTACCTTAAAATATTTTTGTTTCATGTTTACTCTAACTTAAAATATTGTATATTTAAATGCTTAGATATCTAGGATTATTTATTTAGATTTTCCTCATTTACATCTGCCCATTTATATTCCGGCCCTCGACACAGGCTGAGTCTCTATCCGGCCCCTTAGCCAAAAAGTTTGGAGACCCCTGCTCTGGTGGCACTTAAAGTAACTTGATCCTGGGACTGAACCATGTAGTAATGTTGCTCGGACATCGGGAATTACAAGTAAAGTGTAGTGGAATACGGGATAGTGAGGCAGGGTAGATTGCGACGGGTGTGGACGCCGGCGCATGGCTAGTGCGTCGCGGTAGGTGCGTTGCGAAGGGTTGCAAACGCCTGATGCAATATTCGCCAAACTTGGCAACTGCAACGACTTTCTAATACCGTGACGACTGCAGCGCCGCGATTGTTGTCTACACGCGCAGCCTCGTATTCTAGTAGACTCTATTACAAGTAGCGGCAACCGTTGTTTTGCGGTGGAGGATACCACGAGGGTATCCTCCACCGCCATTCGCTTTCAAGGGCCGCTCATTTCAGTGCTGCTCCGTAATTTGTTTTCAAGGACGCATGAGGCACGGTCCTCGGGCATCGGCGCATTGGACGCCACTTGTAAGACCAACGCAAACTTGTCAAGGAGCAGTGTTAGAAAAGAACAACGTAAAGGACGAAAACCGGACGAGAAACGTGTCGTCCGGTTTTCGTCGGAATTGTAGTAGACCTTTTTTCTCCTCCGCTACGGTATCGTGAAGAAAACGCCGCAGCTGCGCATGCGCACCGCCAGCCTTGTCTGCAAAGTTCAAGGTCTTGTGGCGGATTACGGAGAGCTATGCGGGTGCTTAGCGGGCTGCGGAGACGGTCTACTACAATTCCCCAGTTTTCTCTAACACCGTAACTCAACCACCACGCTCCATTTACACAAATTATCGAGCAGCTTAAGGCTGCCGCGCGCGTCCTTCTCGAACGCACCACTGACACTGACTCTCGGACGCTCAGCACGGCTGCATCTACGTGAACCGGCACCAGTTCAACGTGCGCAAGATGCGTCGCTCCCTGGCCTACCTCACCAACAAGAACATGCCGGTGAGGCCGCCGCGTGGCTGCAGCGCGGAACGTGTTTTTTACTGGCGTAATCATTCGGTACACGCACCCGTAGTCACCTGCCACAAGGGCCGCGAAGGGATTAACCCACTTTGAACGGATCGCAAAAATCGGTTTCTCAACGTAGCTTGCTGCGATCTACTACAGAGATGCGGCAGTGGTGAAAGTATGGATCGCAAATATCAACGAATAAGCTTACTTCGTTAAAAAAAAGAACGCGTCTCGTGCAGATAAAGATGGCCTTAGCGCTGAACTCTCCTGCGTCGCTAAAAAGGGCTGCCGTAGGGAACAAATTGGACACGAATTCTGCCTCAGCGTTCGGTTAAAACCCGTGTTCCCACGAATTTAGTTGCGGTCAACCGCTGATGCAGCACTCGCAGGTACGTAGCCAGGATTTTGTTTCCGGGGCGGGGGGGCGGAGGCCGCTTATGACAAAATGCTGTATGAGGGGGAGGGAAGAGATTAGGTCCCAGCAAAATCGAAGATTTTAGAGGGGGGGAAGGGGGGGCGCGGGCCCCATGGGCCGCCCCCCTGGCTACGTGCCTGAGCACTCGTGCCCAATCTGCGATGTACGGTGGCCTTCTTTAGTGACGCACAAAAACTCAGCCCTAATGTTTTCTTTTTTTTTAATCTATAGGAGGTGTTGGTAGTAGAGCTGCCGCAAATGTTTCTTTTTTCTTAACCTGGGGTTCGGAGATAGAATCGAGGGGTTCGAAACGTCGTAAACTTTCGAAGCTGTTACATGAGATCGTTCGGCGATTTTCAAAGTTACGATATTGTTGCGTTAAGAAACTGGCCGATTTGGAAATTTTCAAGTTTGTCGCAGTGTGAAGCATTTGCTGATTCCCAGCTTGCGAACCTGTGAAGTTAAGAAAAGTTTATGGACTTGGTATTTTCTGAACATAAGTGGGATGAAGTTGCAATCGACATTACCCACGAAGGTTTGGATAAAATATATATATATATATACGTAACACAAAGATTTAATTTATTTGGCCCTTAAATGCCCACGGGGGTCTTTACGTATGATGTGTGGAAAGAAAATTGCAAAATGCATCACTAAGGTCGCTCCAGCATCAACTCGCCTCGCCGACCAGGCCTCGTGCCTCATACATAAGACTTTTTCTTCGACTCTGGCTTAGAGCCTCTCCCACATATAACCCCATAGGGTTAACCGAGGTAACATGCGGGCCAACTGGTCCCCGATATGCAGGCCTAAAATTCGACCGAGGCGCTACACTGCAAGTGTTTCCTCACCTCAGTTGTTTCTTATTGTAAGTCCTCCAATTAGATTGTGTAAGCGGCGGGCGGGGAAAAGGCGCGCTCACAGTGCGACGCCGACGCTCGACATAAACGCTGGATCGGCGCTTGCTTTATTATCATTAGTAACCATCTGCAGTTTACAGTTGCCACTGTCTTTATTAACCGAAAATAAAGAGCGAAAAAGCGTCGAAATGGCGAGCCTGACGCACGACCGGCAGTGACCTGGGGCTCCAAGTTGGGTATTTTGCGAGAAAGTCGGCGAGGTTTCTGAGCGCCGCGATTGGTCAAGGCAGCGCCGCGTCTTGGCGCTGGCCAACCGTCTTGGTCAGAAATCTCGCCGACTTTCTCGCCGAGTGTCCAACTTAAGCCCCAGAATGATCGGGTGTATTTTCGAAGGACCTCCGGGTTTGAACTGTTTGCGTTCTTCTCGAACCTGAGCTGTGTCGGGTGCACGGCTGGGCGCCGTGCCCGTGTCGCCGTGTCCAGTGTTCATCCTGCGGGCCGTCCCAACGCTCTACTCCGTTGACTCCTAAGCTGAGACCGCAGTGGGAGCTAAGTGCCCACCGGACCAATCAGCCGCCTCCCTCTTATCACCTGACCTCTGCGTGTGGCTATAAGGGGGGGGGGGGGGGGGGTAGGGAGCGTTATTACGTGGCCAATAAGAGGTGTATGACTAGTTCAACCAGGACGTAGCTTCCACCGAAGTTTCAGCTTAGCGGTGAACGGAGTACAGTAAACACCTAGAGCATCTAAAACTTTCGGGAAGCCTGGGTGTCTTTATGTGCTTGCGTAGTCTGGTATGTCTCGTTCTTTCGTGCCACCTTTGAATTTAAGTGGTGTTCGATCGATTTGCTGCCAATTTGCAAAGAGTTAGGAACGAGGTTCACCGGTCTGCCTCGTGGTTTTTTGCCAAGCCGCTCAACCAGCTGAACGCTTACTTAATGAGTTACGATAAAACCAGAGTAATAATGGTATTACAGTAAGTACCACAGTACTTAGAAAAAGAAGTCTTCGCTTCATGAAAAAAATGCGCTACTTTTTAATGAAAGTTGTCGCACGTTTTGCAAAGTTTCGTGATAAATTCGGAAACATTTGATGAGAACCTAAGGAATTCGATTTCTTTCCGTGATATTCGAAGACTGAGAATATAAATTCGAAATACTGAAAACTTTCAACCTCTTGCACCGAAGAAATTCGAAATCTTAACGTTTCTCAAGCTTGAGCAGTAAAATATTCGAAATCTTGGAATTTTTCAAGCTTGACCAGTAACAAATTTGAAATCTTGATATTTTTCAAGCTTGACCAGTAAAAAATTCGAAATCTTGGAATTTTTCAAGTATAACCAGTAAAGAAATTCAAAATCTTTGAACCCTAATTTTCAGTGACCTTGACACCTTCGAAAGGTTCAAATTCGAACCTCAGCGAAATCTGAAAGTTACGATTTTTTCAAATTCTTGCCGCCCCCTCCCTCCCCCTCTCTCTCGTTTTCTATTTTTTTTACTTTCTTCAGGGCTACATGGTAGATGACGCGGAATGAAAGCGGAGCGCACAGGACGTTCCTATAATTCGTTTTGCACTTCGTACGCGGCCGTCTGGGATCATTGCAAAAAGTGACAACTGGTTCGCTTTGCAGTCGAGCCTCGTGATCTTCCCTGAGGGGGCTCTCTTCGAGCCAGGACACACGGCCAAACTTAAGAAGAGCTACGAATTTGCGCTCCGTCAAGGTACGAAAAGTGCATGACCTTTTTATAACTTAATTAAAGGAGTGGCGAAACGGAACTGTATACTCCTCCCAAACAAAATCGGAAAAAATTGTGCCGTCTTGATATTTACGTTTAAACGCCTCGTTTATGGATGGAAAGCGCACTAAAAGTAAGGTCTGGGTCTATTCCAACCAACTTATTTTCTTTTAAATTATAAAACAAGTTTTGGGAAAAAAAGTTTATATTGGTAATATGGTAAAAAAATTAAACTGAGTTTTAAACGCAATATTGACTGAATATGGGATATAAATAGACCTTTCCTAAGAAATTCCACAATGCCTCTCGGCGCGGATACTTGTGGGACCATGTGGTCAGGCAGGTTTTGCTGCCGGGTGCCTTCTGTGCTGAGTTGGGTTCTGTTTTCCGCCAGAAATCAACGTGGTTCTGCATTTCTGCGTGTCACCAACATAGCAGCAACATAGCGGTGGCAGTGTTGTGCGTTGTGAATGACTAGAATTATCGCCGATGTGACCGTGTGTTCGCATATCAGTTGGTGTAACAAGATGAGATGACGTAAACCGTCGGGCATTGATGTTGCTGGTCGGGCCGTGATTGGAGGGGGGTACTCATGTTGGAACGCTGGTCTGAACCGAAACTCCTATCGTACGGTGGCCAATATGACTGTGCTCTGCGATGTCCTGTTGTCTCCAACTCAAGAGCGATTGCGCTCTGGGATGGAGACAACAGTATGGACTAAAAACTGTGGAAATGTGACGGAAAGTACGTATATTTACAGTTTGGACTTTTAGCATTAAGGAAGTATTGTAGGTAAAATCGACAAAAAACAAAACAACTATATGTTATTTTGCTGTTTAAATATACTACGGTTCCTGGAGAAACTGCCCTCCAAGTGGCGTGCTGGGATGAGCGCTAGAAGTTTTCGAGCTCGCCATGGCGTAGCTCCATACACTTAATACCCGCCGCAAGTCGCGCCTTTGACTGCATTCAGGTTGATCGGAAAGCGATTTCTCTCCTCGTGAGGCATCGTTTCCGCCTGTGTGAATACCCCATCTACAGAGATTAATTCAAGACGACAATTGCAGCCGCACGCGAACAGTACCAAAATAAAATAAAAACTGCGATAGAAAAACTGACTATGACGTGCCGTGCGGTGAAGCAAACACATGGCTTGGAGCCGCATTGGAGCGGCTTGATTTGTTGGCTTTCAAATAATTACGGCATGAGTGTTTACTTTTTACTGAGAAATTCATCCCCTGAGCCGTTCAAAATTCTCTCAGAGGTATGACATTACTGAAAATAAATCAACATCCTGGAAATATTATTTATTGCTTAGGTGGTCACCGAGAAAATCCGTATCTTCAAAACGACCAGTATAAAAGGCGGAAATGCAGAGCTCAGAAGGGGGAATCGGCACGCGTTCCTGTAATGCACGTTAAAAGCTCCAGGTTAGCAGGTTGTACTGCACTGGCTTAATTTTACCTTTACAGCTAAGAGACCGGTCACCCGTTGAGGCGTACAAACTAGGGATGCCACGAACAAACCTAGGTTCGACTTCGAAAGGTTTCGAATTTTCGATCCGAACTGAGGTTCGAATCTGAATGATTTCGATATTTTCAACCGTACCGAGGTTCGAAATCGAAAAGTTCGCAACTTTAAATCGCCGTGGAGTTTCGAATCTGAAAAGTTCGAAGCTTTCACAGTTTCTAAAAGTTCGGGTTTGATTATTTCGAATATTTTTTACTTGAGGTTCGAGAAATTTGAAGATTTCGAACTTTCCTTTCCTAACTTGAAATTCGAGAGATTAGAAAGTTTTGAAATTTTTGGGGTCTAAAGATCAAAGAATTCGAAGATTTCGAATTCCTTTGAATCTGAAGGTTGAAAAATTCGAAAATATCGATTTTCTTTCTACATAAAATTCCAAGGTTTCGATTCTCTTTTAAAGCTGAATTCGAAAAAAAAAAAAAAAAACTTGAAGGTTTCGAATTTATTTTAAGGCCAAGAGTGCGCAAAGTTCGAAGTTCGTCTTTCATGTTCCTCCACAGTTTCAGTTTCAAATAACGTTTTCACGCCTCACTGATTTTCACGAAATCAGGTTTAGAAAAGTTCGGGTGTGTCTGCGCGAAGTTGGTAAGGCAATTAAATGGTACGACGAGTGTCCTGGATGTGGTGGAATATTTGCCAGTGGAGAGTGACGTGTGACCCCAGATCAGTAATTGTAACCGCCAGCCCCTCCCCCCCCCCCCCCCCCCCCCCCCCCCCACCCCCCCCCCCCCCCCCCCCCCCCCCCTCCGAGGGGGTCACACGAACTCACTGTTTAACGATACTCATCCAGTTCGAAACGGCCAGGGGCAGGCAGGTGGTTGAGACTCAGAAAACGTTTAAGCTATCTGGCAAACGGCCTCTCTACCCCCTCGCACGCTGGTAGTAATCCTATCGAACGCCGCCCGAGTGACGCTGGCATATAGTAAATTTAGTTTGTACATGCAAAATCCTGAGACTGGGAATGAAATTTGAAAGAAAAAGTGTGAGGCGAGAAAAAAAAGGGGGACAGGACAACGTCGCAAACTCAATTCAGCTGAAAACTCAGCTCAGTATACAACGTCTCAAACTCAACTGAACTGAGTTTGAGACGTTGTCCTGCCCCCTTTTTTTTTCTGTCTTCTTACACTTTTTCTTTCAAATTTCATTCCCAGTCTCAGGATTTTGCATCATGATTAACATTCACCAGCTCGCCTGCACCTTGACAATATTTTAGTTTGTAATTGTTCTGGAGATTTATTTTCCGGGACGGAAGAAACGCCGAGCAAAAAGCACAGAAACCGACACAACTCGAGTTCGAGGAACGTTCTACCATACCTGTGACGTCGGAAGAGGAAGAACGGTGGGGAGGGGGGGGGGGGGAGGGAGGGGAGGGGAGGGGTTCCAGTTCCCCCCGCCCCCCAGATATTTCGGGCTGTTAAAGAAAACAATACGGGGAAAGAGGGAATGGTCGAGCTTATTTTAATCTGAAATTATTTAGGCATATGTATGTCTACCAGACTTGTACCGTACGCATTACAAGTAATCAAATTACTTGTAATTCATTAATGTTTGGAGTAATTTTGTAATCAGTTGATTACTTTTATTAGGTAGTAATCACAAGAGTAATTTGAATACTTTTTGAAGTAATAAAATTACTTGTAACCGTTACGATTTGTCCACGGAACCCCCCCCCCCCCCCCCCCCTCCCCCGGCACACGCCTTTTTTCATCAAATAACAAAAATAAAATTTGCTTTTTTTTTTTGAACGGAAAAAAAGAGATATTTGCGGAGCTGTAGGAGACGAGGTCAATCTCTTTCTATGTACAGTTTCTGTGAATTTCCGTTTTTTTTTGTCTTGTTTTTTTTTTCGAGCTAGGACTGGGAGTGGGAAGCCCCAGGGAAGCCACAGTGCGTGACAAAGGCCATTCAGGGTGAAGTTTGAGGAAGCAGAATGTAGCTTTGTGAGTCCTTCGATCAAACTAGCCCCCTCACGCTCACACACACAGAAATAAAAAAATATAGAAAAAAATCCTGCTTAGGGTACCTACTCGCAGTCCGTAGGAGAACCAGAACCGAAGAATGCCTAAAGCGGATGCAAAATATAACAAAGGCAGTTGAAATATTTCCCCATTTCCCCTACGTGGTCTTTGTGACAAGCAATGTATCGAGTTGAGAAGTGGTCGGGGCGATCTCTTCCACTAATGGATACTACACATGATCCGTTTCAAATCCTGGAGCTGCTGCTCTTTTGTATAACATGCGAGCTCATTCACATGTGAATAATAAAATGAGCGACGCAAACTTTGAGCGACAACCCTTGCTCAAGCTTAACAAGATCTAAAGCCCCCTCCGCTCCCCCCCCCCCCCCCCCCCCCCACCACACACACACACTGGCGAACGCCCAAATCATTAAACGTCTTCAAACGAATTCTATGCTTGTGTTCGCATTGTGAAGGTGCAACGACCACGAAGAGGGAGCCAGTTTTTCTTTTTAAATACTTGTGCAAATGTGAAATACAGGTTGGAAGTAGTTCATTGTTATGAGCGCTAAAGATGTGTCTTCACTCAATAAAGTAATCGGAAAAGTAACGATTACTTCTTTAAGTAACGTCCAATTACTTTTGCCGTCGAGTAATCAAGTAATCTAATCGAATACTTTTTAGCCAAGAGTAATAGTAATTGTAACCGATTACTTTTTTTTAGTAACGTGTACAAGACTGATGTCTACTGTCGCTCTTCACTGCATAAAAGATTGCGTAGATGGTCATTGTTAGAAACTCGTTGCCAGAAGGCACTACTCGTCACATGCTTAGTAGTTCGGAGGTTCGAAACTATGTCTTTTAACCTAAATGACTTTGCTATTAGTTAAAAAAAATTAATCAGAACAATAAATGCGAAAATGAAAAGCTGGAGAAAAAAAAATCTATCAAGAACCCGCCGGAAGAGTTCTATTCTTGCACATTCAAAGGCCCAGAACACTTGAAAAAGTTTCTCCTACCGAAAACGTGTACAGGTTGAAAGAAAAACGTCCCAGAAACGTAAAATAAAAGAATGGCTTTTATTGTAATGACGTACTGAACTTGAACAATATTAGAAATCTTTTTCCATGAGTTAATTTATTCCTCAGCGTGAAAAAAACAAACAATACACTAATGACGAAATGAATCCCTGGAGAAGGGGAACAAGAGGGACATAGGACAAACACAAATCTCCAAACGCAGCTAGGTGACTGGAGAGCGAGGTGGTGACTGGTGCTCTACTGACGTCTAACCCCTGGTTAGATCAGTCGGTGGAGCGCTCCACTTGTAATGGAGAGGTCCCGGGTTCAATACCCGGAGCAGGCGGATTTTTTCGGTCGCGCACCAGTCACCTAGCTGTGTTTGGAGATTTATGTTTGTCCTATGTCCCTCTTGTTCCCCTTCTCCAGGGATTGATTTCGTCGTTCTTGTCCAGCTCGCTTGCACCCTTGCATTTAATTG